ATCAACACCTCCTAGAAGTATGAAGGCCTCAGCACGGATCAATTTAGTAGTCCGATGTGACGAAGTTAACTGCGCAGTTGATGAAAAATAAGAAAGATGTCATAACGTTCGGGGTACTAAGCTGCGCAGTGGTTGAAAATACGACATATGTCATTACGTTTGGACTACTAAAGGATATTTATGGTAACCCGTGCAGAGGCCTACTCTTTTCTAGGAGGTGTTGTGCAGCGTCTCACATGGTATCTTTCATTTTAAAGAATACGTTATCCCGCAATTTTATTATAATAATCTGTGTTTAATTAAAGTTGCTATGCATACTGCTAACCGACAATCTAGTATTTATCTCCCCGTACTAATACAGAAAATACAAAATGATGCAAAAAATTGCTTACCTTACAATTCAAAAATTTTTCGACCATTATTAAATAAAATATAAAAAAATAATAAATAGTGATTAAAAGTAATTTTGTGCATAAAATTATCTTTGGATAAACGAATTTTATAATAGTGAGCTACCCTCTTACTTTTTAAATTTTTTTTTTTATTATTATTATTATTTTGGGGAGGGGGTGTCAGAAATCCGACTCAGCCAATTTATAATTAAACAGTAAGAGATGAAGACTTTTTAATATTTAAAGATTTTTTAATATTTTATTGTTAGTTCAGAACACGGTCATGTAACTCCATTTATATTGAATATATTTTCAGTAAAATATGTATAGCTTTAATACTAAATCTTAATCTGAAATACATTTAAACAATGAGCCTACTCTTACTTCAAACAAAAATATGAATAAATATTTCATTACGATCAGTGATTTAACTTCCATCCCAATTAATAGAAAAATTATTTTATAGGATGCCGTGATCTTGAGCTATTAAATAAATAAATAAATAAATAAATAAATGAATAAATAGATAAATGAACAATAAAAAGTTTGATTCCTTAAAAAGTTTAGCTTCAAAAAATATTTTAATAGATGGCAGCACCGATGGATCAATGTTTTTTATCTTGACGGGGCAAAATATTTTATATCTATTCGCGCTTTTTTACAGAGGAAATGATCAATTATGAAGTATCAATATTTTTATTAGTTCATTTATTTGAATGAGAATTTTTTAGTCTAAGAATTCTTTTCTCTATAATTTAAATTCATCATTCAAAAATGTAAGAATTTGCTTTAAATTAAAAAAGAATATCTGCGGATTTACTTTCATTTATTTGTTAATTGCAAATCTATTTTTTAATAGTTAATTTTTTTATCAATTATAATTTTCAACAATAATTTTTTAAAGTGACAGACAACTTATGAACGGTCATAGAAGCTACAAATAATCTTCTTAAAAAAGGGTTGAGGTATTTAGGAAAGAGTTTAAAATATATGTATTCCTCAATAGAGAGCAGCCTAATTTTTTTTTTTTTTTTTTTNTTTTTTTTTTTTTTTTTTTTTTTTTTTTTTTTTTTTTTTTTTTTTTTTTTAGTGTGGTAATCTTGGCAAACAATAATTCAATTCTGGTGGCCAAGGTGGTAACATAAGCAAATTAAAAAAAATATAATAATATTACTTGTTCTATTTTTTTAATTTTTTTTTATCGTGTTCGTGGACAATTAAATGGCCTCGTGTGCCTTCAAAACTGCATCCGCAAGCTCCAATACATCATTACTGTAGAGGATCTCACGAAGTTCTGAAGCACCATACCCAGTTGTAAAACATATTTGTTGAACTATTTTAATGAAATTAACCCAAAAAATGCTGAAATTAAAAAAATTAATAAACGAAAAGTCACAAAATGAGAAAATAATAAAAAAATAAAGGAAAGATTGAATTTATGAGGAATGTAAGAACATATAAACTTCTCTATAAGAACATATAAACTTCACTGTTATAGATCATTATTATTTAGTCGAGAGAGTTGTGAAGTTTCTATTAATAAGTAAATAAATAAATAAATAAATAAATAAAAATAACTAAGTGAAGGTTCTTTTTAGTCTTTACTCTCACTTTTTTATTGTCAGTTAATCATTTGATTAAAACATTAATATCGTATTGTTTTTGCTTAAAATATATGTTAAGGAAATAGCAACAATGAAATCGGCTGAAAATAGCCATAAAAAATACAATTACAGCCCTTTCTTTATTTTTGTTAATATTACTTTTTATTATTTTTTTATTTATTTTATTTTTAAAATAGTAAATGGTATTGTATGTGATTTGAATTGAGTAGAAAATCAATATTACTTATTTTATTATTTTAATTAGTTAATATCAATTTCTCTAACGATAAAAAATATTTCCTTTAATGAAATAATTAGATTTGTATAACACTTTATACATAACTTAGAACAACTTTCGACATTATTTTTTTTTTTCCAAAAATTTATTTTAAGTTAATTATCGATTACGAAATTTTGATTGTTAAATATATTTTAAAACATTTTGGAAGAGTATTCTAAAAACGTTTCACAATGTTTAAACAACATAATGATGTACTTATGTAGAGTTTGTAGAGTGTAGAATGTACAGGTTTGATTTTGTTGTAAAAATCATGTTTCTATAGCGAATTAACAAATAAGTGTAACAATTAAAAAAGTGCATCACGCTCGCTCTGAAAAATTTAATTACACGTCTTTCATCTATTTTATTAACGAAATGTTCGAAACGTCCGACAGATAGCAGCACTAGGCATGCTTTTTGAAGTAATATATTCATATTTCTAATTGTGCTATACGGTGTTACTTTTATTTTATATAAATATTAAAAACCACATTTGTTTAATAACAAATAATTTTAAATATTTGTTTAATAATAGCTACCCCAAATTTGTATTAAGCTAAATTATCATCAGGTGTTTGTAAACTTCAGACAATTTTCACCGACCCATTATCATTAACAGTGTTCATAAAATTAAAATTACCATTAAAATATAATAAAATGAACGAAAATTTTCATTATTTATTATAAGAAAGATTTAGTTTTCAAATATACTTTCCATAAAAATGTTGCTTTGGATTGTGCCTGATTCGTAAAATTATAATTGTCAAGAATTATATAATGTTAAGAACAAAAACAAAATAAAAACAGACAAAAAATAATATTAGTATAATGCAATTAAAAAAGTAACGCAAGTGCAAGTCTTTTGCAAAGTACTTATGTTGTTTTTTCATTGATACAGTTTTCAATAAATTTTACTTTTTAGTACTTAGCTTATTTTTTTGCTTCAATAAGTTACTATTACCATATTTATTAAGCATCATTGGTGTCAATAATAGCATAGCGATTTACGTTTCTTCTAAAAGAATTAGTGTCATTTCTCAATTTCTTTCGAATTTTAGTACATGACTTATTTATTTTATTTTAATTACAGCAAATTTTAAATTATTTAATCTTTTAGAAACATGTTTTTAAATTATAACTATACACATATTAATTTAGATAAATTTAGAAACAATAATTTATTGACGTAGTCCATCCACGCTACTACGTTCGTGTTGATCACTGTTTTTTTAAACATACGAAATGAAAACTAAATAAATGTTAAGGAACGTGCAATAAAGTTTTATATTTTTAATTAAATAGAACTATAAGCCAGAAAACATTACTGATGTTACCTTAAAAATAATTGGGGTTAAAGATTGGGGTTAATTAGATAACTGTAAATGATGTCATCGAAACTTTTTCGGTTTAAAAGCCAATCAGACTCGACTCACACGCGTGAGGTTACTTAAAGTATCCAATTGGGTACTTTAACTTCAAGAAGAGGAAGAAGATCACGGGTATCCACACATGTGACCTATGACGTCAAAGTCAGCTGATCGCTTATAAGCAAAATGGCGTGTTAACGATGAGCTAAGTTTCTCCACATAAGTTAGAATGTTAATTAAAGTTGAGTTTATTAAATACGGAGCCGTATCGCACATCGGATTTGTTGAAAGATAATTTTTTCTCGTCTGCGTCTTTTACTTAACTTGGATTTATTATTTGTTTATGTATTTTATTGTAATCTTGATGTATTTTTGTCTTGTGTACCTGCCAATTTTAACACATAGTTGTTTGTTTATGTTCTACATGGCTTCCTGTCTATCTTTGTGTTAAATAAGAAATATATACTGAAAGAATTTAAATCTTTGTGTAAGAATGTAGAATGTATCATTTAAGAGAATTGATGCTTGATGGGCTTGGATTTAAAACCATAAGGGGAATGTTAGTTTGTGGCCACGTGCTGTATTCTCTGAATTCATTCAAAATAAATCACGTTTTCCTTTATAATTCCTTAATTTTTGTTTTAAAAAATGAATTTTGGGATTTAGTCAGAACTGAGGAAGATTCGTTTGAGCAATTCTCAAGGATATCACCGTATTCTGGAAAAACCAATTATTGTAAGCATTCTTTTTGGGTAAAACTGCTTTGTTTACAATTCATTAATATTTGTTTATAGTTGAACTTGTTTTGCTTACTATTGATAAATATTTGTTTATAGTTAAACGTTTTCGACTTTTATTCCGTTAACTGTTTTGTCATTCGTTTCGCTTGGCGACTTGGCTCGCGTTTGGTTCACAATGGGCGACATTGGCCCCCGACTAACGGAAAAGTACCATCATTTTTAAACTTGTATATTTCGGCAAGAAAATAGATTAAAAAGGACATTTAAAAAAATCTATAGATTTAGGAATGAAATTAATTTTAGATTTTAAATCTCAGCACAAGAATCAGGCATGATCAAGTATTCGTATAAATGTAACAAAAAATTTGTTCCCCAGTGTTATCATTATTTATTTATTTTTTTATTTTTTAAATTAAATGTTTGATGAATGACGTCATTGCAACATTACCTCCAATATATTGCCATTGCAACACACACTGTGAGCAAGTCAATCCCTGTGGCAATCTCAAGTATATGTCAATTAATCCCATCTCTGCACCATCCACGTAATATTTTGTTCCAGATCCATCAGCAAGTTCGAGAGGATACTGGTCTAGACATTTTTGTTGGACTACTTTTTTCGCGTTGTTATTCGGACATATTCTAAACTCAAAATATCCTAAATGGTTTGCTGTCAGATCAATTGTTGCTTTTATAACCTGAAAAAAATACAAAATTAGAGAAGGATAATAAATGTTATCCTTCTATTGTATCGAAACCAGCTGTACTGAAGAGACAATTCTTATGAAACAACATTTATTTGAAACATCAACCACACATCAACTTTTGCAACAAAGTTAATATAATTGCAAATTCCCGTATAGTTTGTCTAAAGTAAGAACTTCCCTAGCAACGCGTCTGGATCCGTGGCGGTGACTATGGTAACGAGGTATAACTTATCGCCAATCTCTAGTTATAATTATGCAAAGTACGTTTTTTTGTGGTCTTTAATTTTGCATAGATATTTCTTGGAATTCACAATTTTTCATGTATAAATATTTTTTGATTTTCACCTTTAATTTATATTTAGAAGTCTCTCTAAGAGAGAGCCTTTAGTGAATGTCTAAGGTTTTATTATTTAGTTTTACCATGAATACTGTAATGAAAATTTTCCGGTCTCGCTGAGAGAAGAAGATGGCTTTATTTTTACGTTTTTACTATATAACATTAAAAAAAAAAAGAGCAAATATGAGTTTTAAAAGTTTGCATTAATTAACCATTCTCTCCTAGTGATATTATCTCAAGCAATAAAAAATAAGATGCGATATTCAAAAACTGAAGGAAGCAGGTTTAAATCAAATAATTAGAAGAAAATCTTGAAATTTGAACTTTTTGATTGATCACTTGTTTGTAATCATTCACCATTCTCTCCTTGTGATATCATCTCAAGCAATGAAGAATAGGATGCGATATTTAATTAATGAAGGAAACAGGTTCAAATCTAATAATTAGAAGAAAATCTTGAAATATCAAATTTTGATTGTTCATAATGAAGGAAGTAAGCACATACGTGAAATATTACTGAGTCAAACATAAAGAAAGAATCAGAACTTTTAATTTTTATTTCATTACATCCATCAGAATTTTTATTTCATTGTGATTAATACACGGCTAAATTTTAATTAAGAAACTTTCATTTGTATTCAGGTTAAGAGTATACTTACCTGTCCTTGCATATAGTTTCTTACAATAATTCCTTTTCCGTACAAGCCACCAGCTTCATTGGGTCTGGGCTGAAGTAAATTATATGCATCACCACACACTCCACATTTACCAGCGTTGATGGACCACTGCACCTGCACAACACAAAATACAACCTTCAAAAACTAGCCATACAACAGTTATAATACAGTTTGTTGTTTTTAATGATAATTAGACAAACCAAGCTCAGCAGTCTTTGGCTTCAGTCAGAAAGGTGCGCCCTTTGTTTGACAAAAAAAAAAAAAAAAAAAAAAAAAAAAAAAAAAAAAAAAAAAAAAAAAANAAAAAAAAAAAAAAAAAAGAGAGCACCGCAAGGGTGTAAGTACGTCTTAGCTCATTTGAGAGTATATATTTCTTAAAGGGTATAGTTTTATCTACTTTTTTTAATCTATTTTTTTTTATCAATATTCTCTTTTTTACATTGTTTTTTCTAGCTACTGAAAAGAGATTGTCTTAATCTTCAATTAACTTAGAGAATAAAAATGACAGAAAAAGTAAGAATTGCAGAATTTTAAGCATATCGTATTTTCCTTATACACTGTAAAAAATTCCAGCGTTTCTCAATTCCAAAAATGATGCCAACTACTTTAAACCAAAGTAGTATCCCTTACTCTAAGAACCAAGAATAGTTCTTGGTGTAGGTAAATATTAAGAATTAGTGTAAAGTAGCTGCGACCAATTCTGATTCTCAGTTACACTAATATTTGTCAGTAAAGTATGATAAGATACATATGAAAGTCAGTAATGCTATTTCTACGATACAATATAAAATAAGAATGATTATTTTAGGCTGCATATATATGTTACAATTAAAGTGCATTGTTCAGTTATTTCATAGAATAACTAGATATTCATGAAATAACTAGGCAAGTCAGTTAAAGTATATAATAGATGAAAAATTTCATAATTTACCTAGTTATTCTATGAAATAACAAATGACAGATGCTTAAAGAGAAAAAAGCAATTATTTTATAAATTAATTAATTATAAATAGCTAAACTCTCGAAAAATACATTCTGACAACTAGTTGCTCTAAGTTCAAAACTGACTAAAAGCAGCTAGAACTGTTTAATGAAATTTTGAGTGCCTTATTTCATACTTTAACGATCAAGTAATCGTTCTTCTACAGAATTTCTAGTTAAAACGTAAAATCCAATTATTCTATATACTTCAACTGATTTGTCTAATTATTTTATGAAATACCTAGTTATTCTATGAAATAACGGATTTCACACTTTAACGGCAACGTATACACTAGAATAAAATAAAACTGGTTTGTAAATACGAAACATACGCAGCACAGAGAAAATATTAAGATGAGTTAAGATTTAATATAACAAAAGCCGGGAGAAATTATACAGTATTATCTCATTTAATACATTTCTCAGAGATTTAAAAACTAACGTAATTACCTTATATAACCTTATTACACAACTGAAAACAAGCGTACATATTTTAAAGACAAACTTTTGTTTCCGTGAACGTAAAGTAACATGAAGGACAACAAACTTACGTCAACTTACAATCATTTGTAAACAATCTTTAGACGTTATCCAAAGCACGCCAACATTCTTGTTTTCTGAATTTTTTTTTACCATAAGTGTTTGGATTTATTTATACACTTTAAAATGTATAAATGGAAATTTGTCTACTTTTAATGCTTTCAGTGAAAGTAGGAGATAAAAAAGCATTTTACTTATAACATGCCGTCAAAATACCTGCCGCGTGGCACGCGTGCCATACATTCGCCATATTTGCCTTAATTTGTATGCTTTTTATTTAATTTCTTGCAAGGATTCTAGGAGAGCCAGATGGCACTGGGAAGGGAACATTCGCCTCCCAGTGAGATGACCGAACCCCAGCAATGGCTGGTCGATACGAATTCTGCATCCGGCTTGAAACAACCCCAGTGCTGACGTCATATATCTTGAGTGGTAGACGGATCACGAGTTAGGGTCCCCTTACCATCAGGCTAATCACGGGAGGCTTTCGTGGATTTCCTCTTTATGTAACGCATATGCCTGTAAGTTCAATCAAAAAGTCCTCCACGAAGGCAATTTCCTCCAATACTTGATCCAGGAGTTCCTTTTTCTTCTGAATTGGGTTCAAAATTACAAGGCTACAGAGGTGAACATTGGTAGTCATGAACTCAAAATTGGGTCGGCTGTTCAACGACGGTTTTAAAAGTATTCTAGAATATGTATTAACATTGTGGGACACCTTTTACATTGTGTTTATGTTACTGTGAATGACCGAAATTGGTTGTTGTTGATTTCCACTGTTGACAATAATATAGTTACTTTGGTAAATATCCGAAATATAGTTAAATGCCACTGCCCGGTATATATTTGCCCGGTACTGCGAACTCTGATGTTTCTCCTAATCTATCCTCAGCAGCTATTAAAATATAAAATAAAAATAAGAATAAAAACGAATAAATTAATATCAAATTTGACATAACAAATATTTCAGACATTCACCAAAGCGACTATATGATTGTTGACATTCACCGGTGAAAGTCGACATTCTCTTGATTTTGCTTATTCAGAGTAACACATACATTGTGGAACACCCATTACATTTTACTTTTAAAGCACGTAGGCATTAATATTTAATAAAAAGAGAGGTTTATTTATCATTTGTCTTAAAGGAGATACTTAGTTCATGCACCATATAGTCAATATTATTAATTTACTGATTATCACCTCCATTAGAGTATCATTACTGGGGTTTGCGTTCGTAAAATAATCCATTAAATACTCACATAGATTCCACCACAGAAAAGTTCATTGTCGTTATAATTGGGAGGGCTGTTGTATCCGAAACGCCACATGGAAGACCTAGAGGGTGGTTCAAGTAATCTTCCGTGGCCTTGAACTTGGTGAAATAGTAAAAAATATAAAATTATTTCCACAACCTTCCTCATATTTACGGAATGTCCCACTGAGAGAACACCTTTGGTGACAGAAATTTTTTTTCTTCAATTTTTCTCAGCCACATAAAAAAGAAAATTGATAGGCGCGTCGATTTAAGGATTATATAGCTTTTCCGCTAATCTTATCTGAGAAGATTTTTTGTTAGGATCCGGAATTCCACCGTTGTCACAAAAATAAAACTATGTCAATTTTTTAAAACTTTTCTTTTGTTTAGTTTTTTTGTGTTTGTAAAAGAACAGGAAAATTTGAAGATTACAAATGAATGGAGAGAGAAAAATATTCGAAATTGTTCGTTAAATTATTCCCGTTTAAGTATTTCAGTAATGAATAGCAACACACAAAGAGAAAAAGTATGGTCGAAACTACCTTATTATGATTAAATTTATCGTGTTTCTGGATCTATGGAACCTGTGTAATTTGTACCGATGAGATCATGACTTTGGTTAAAGTAACCATAAAATATAGTATTTTTAATTAATGATAAAATTTAGTAAACGTGACAGAATTTGGTAATTTCATCATTATTTCTTAGAGCAAAAATCATTTATTTGGTTAAATTTAATTTTTAGTTTCCTATTGTTTCACTAAACGTTTGGTAATAAAAACTATAATTTTGAAGACCAGAAATCTCGGTAAATTTTGCTTATCATCATAAATTTGTTTTATATTTAATAGAATAAAAAAAATTATGTTTTAAATTTGTGTTTAATAATTTTTTTCTTAAATTTTGCAGGATTTTCTGAGTGTCTGAAAACGGTAACATTAATTACCTGAATTTTTATTAACGTCTTTGATATGATTTATATTTAATCCAATAATCAAAAATCAATTTATATTTTTGTTTAAAATATATTTTTAATTACGAAAACGGTAACAGTCCTGCATTATCAAAATTTTTATTTTACATTTTATAACTTTTTCTTCATTTCAGAAACTATTCAGCGATGAAATTATTTATGAATAATGAAATTTTTTATTGAATTTAAGCAATTAAACAGTAACAGTTATAAGTTATCTCCTTTTTAATTATTGTCTTTGATTTGATTTATATTTAATCGAATAAATGGAAATCGATTATAAATATTTCGCTCAATTATTTTTTTCCTCATTTTATTTAGTTTAAATTTTCATAATTTAACCATTTTTATTATTTAATCATTGCATGTCTGTGCCACATAATTAATGTCAAATATATCGTCAAATCATTCTTGGAGAAAGGATTGATACATTATTATATTTTCTAGATGATTTTCAGAAAATTTAATATTTATAAATTTACTGAT